TATCATTATTATTATTATTATTATTATTATTATTATTATTACTATTATCACTATTATCATCATCAGTGTCAGTATCATTATTATTGTTATTATTATTATGATTTTGATAATTATAATCATTATTAGCATTAGCATCATTGTAATTTTTTATAGTTATGGTTATTGCAATTATTTCTATTAGTAATAACATTACTGTTTTAATTATCACTGTTATTTTTTTTATTGTTTTTATCATATTCATCAGTATCATCATTGTTAATGTTATTATTGTTATAGATATAGATGTTCTTATCATTATCATCACTATTGGTATTGCAATTATTATCACTTTTCTTATTATAGTTATCATTACTATTGATATTATCATTATGGTTATCATCTTAATTTTCATTATTATTGTTATTATCATTATTACTACTACTATTCTTATTCATTGTTGTTGTTTTATTATTATTATCATTATCATTATTATTATTATTATTATCATCATCATCATCATCATCATCATCATCATCATCATCATCATCATCATCGTAATCATTATCATTATTGTAGTCGTTGTTGTTGGTGTTATCCTTATCAATATCATGATTTTTATTATTGTTTTTGTTATCATTTTTTGTTATTGTTGTTGTTGTTGTTGTTATTATTATTATTATTATTATTGTGGTGTTCCAACTAAGCATCCATGGCCAGGGGTCCCACAACATTAATTCCCACCCTTTGTACCAGTATGGGAACACACTATCCCTGATGTACTCAGGGATAAGTAATAATAATAAGTATAATATATATAGGGATAAGTACAGATCCCATTGAGGTGTGGTAACGTGGATGAAATCTGCGTAAGAAATACCTGGGCGAGTTTAAGTGTGTATCTCTCCTTAATGTTTAGTAGAAGCAATTGTAACTAGTGAACATTTGAAATTAATGTAAAACTGCACAAGGTAGCGCGAATACAAAGGAGAAAAAAACATGTGGTAATAAGTAAAATAAACGAATGACAGCAACTTCAAAGTGAAGTGCTGGGGTAAAGACTTACGTTAAAAAGATAATAAAAAGGAGAGGAATCCCAAATGATCCTCAGGCAAAAGGCCCATCAATAAGCATTGAAATGAAGATTCTAAAATACACCAGCACAGAAGCACTAAAGGTGTATCTCGATACTAAATAAACAGACAACATACACTGACACAAAAACAAACAAACAAAAAAAAAACGACGAAGATGGAAACCACAGAGGAACGAAAACGACAAATCCTGCGGGAGAGAGAGATGCTTATTATTATTATTATTATTATTATTATTATTATTATTATTATTATTATTATTTAAAATACTAAAGCTGCATCTCGAAAAAAAAAATGGCAAAGGCAAACAGCAAGCAAAATCACTAAGATGAAACAAAGCACAGCCAAGTCCTGAGGGGACGGTAAATGAAAGAAATAAAATAAAATAAAAAACAATAAAATCTAAAGCATCACTAAAAAGTTCATGTTTCATTTAAGAGTATAGATTACGTCCAGCTCCTAGTAAATGTTTACATATCAGGCACTCAAGACTTTAATCTCTTTTGCAGTAGTTCTGCCGATTGATGTTCTCAGGTCAAACAAAAAAAAAAAAGGGGTAATGACACAAACGCTGACTGCTTTAGACTAACTGTATTTGGCGGGAAACTGGGTCATATATATACATTCTGTGACGTCATCAGCCACGAAAAAAATAATACAAAAAATAAAATCAGAACACGATAAAAAAAATATCCAACGGGATGTCGAAACATAAATTAAGATAAAAAAATACAAATAAGAGAGAGTAAAAATAATTTTAGATGGGTAAAAATACGACTTAGAAAAGAAAAGATGAGTCAGCAAGCAATCTATCTTATGATAAAAAGGGCGAAATAAAATAGGCAAAAAAAAAAGGCATCAATAAAATAAGGAAATAAGAACTGGTAAAAAAACAACAGACACAGTAAAACGAAAGTATATAAAAGGAACAAAGAGAACGACTCTCAGGCAGACTAAAACAAAAACACGAAATGAGATAAAAACAGACAACATACACTGAGACAAAAACAAACAAACAAAAAAAAACGACAAAGATGGAAACCACAGAGGAACGAAAACGACAAATCCTGCGGGAGAGAGAGATGCTTATTATTATTATTATTATTATTATTATTATTATTATTATTATTATTATTATTATTATCACAATTACGATTAGCATTGTCATTTTAATTATCATCATTATCATTATCAATATTATTATTATGATGATATATATTATTTCTATCATTATTATTATAATCATTAACATCGTTATCAATATAATTGCTATCTCTTTTATCACTATTATTAATCTTACCAATGTTATCCTTAATATAATTATTATTATCATGATTATTTTTATTATCAATATTAATACTAGTATCATTATCATCTATATTATTGTTATTATGATAATTGTTATTATCATTATAATCATCATTATCATC